GTGCGCGTGTGCGCGTGTGCGCGTGTGCGTGTGTGCGTGCGTGCGTGCGTGCGTGCGTGCGTGCGGGTGTGTGTGTGTGTGTGTTGGTGTGTGTGTGTGTTGGTGTGTGTGTGTGTTGGTGTGTGTTGGTGTGTGTTGGTGTGTGTGTGTGTTGGTGTGTGTGTGTTGGTGTGTGTGTGTTGGTGTGTGTGTGTGTGTCTGTGTCTGTGTCTGTGTCTGTGTCTGTGTCTGTGCGTGTGCGTGTGCGTGTGCGTGTGCGTGTGCGTGTGCGTGTGCGTGTGAGTGTGCGTGTGCGTGTGCGTGTGCGTGTGCGTGTGCGTGTGCGTGTGTGTGATTGTGTGTGTGCGTGTGTGTGCGTGTGTGTGCGTGCGTGCGTGCGTGCGTGCGTGCGTGCGTTGTGTTGTGTGTGTTGTGTTGTGTTGTGTTGTGTTGTGTTGTGTTGTGTTGTGTTGTGTTGTGTTGTGTTGTGTTGTGTTGTGTTGTGTTGTGTGTGTGTGCGTGCGTGCGTGCGTGCGTGCGTGCGTGCGTGCGTGCCTGCGTGCCTGCGTGCCTGCGTGCCTGCGTGCCTGCGTGCCTGCGTGCCTGCGTGCCTGCGTGCGTGCGTGCGTGCGTGCCTGCGTGCTTGCGTGCCTGCGTGCGTGCTTGCATGCCTGCGTGCCTGCGTGCCTGCGTGCCTGCTTGCCTGCCTGCCAGCCAACTGCCAACTGCCAACTGCCAACTGCCAACTGCCAACTGCCAACTGCCAACTGCGTGCGTGCGTGCATGCGTGCGCATGCGTGCGCGTGTGTGTGTGTGTGTTTGCGTGTATTTGCGTGTGCGTGTGAAGTGTGATTGTGTGTGTTGTGTAGGTGTGTGTAATTGTTTGTTTGTTTGTGTGGATTTTTGTTTGTTTGCTTGTTTGTTTGGGCAGAAGACCTGTTCAACAGACGACGGGTTCAACAGGGACCGGTTCAACAGACGACCGGTTCAGACACCACCGGTTCAACAGACGACCGGTTCAGCAAAACCTGGTTCAAAGAAGACCAGTTCAACAGGATTGTTTTCGCAGAACCGGTTCCGCGGAACCGGTTCCACAGGACCGATTCCACAGGACCGGTTCCACAGGCCCAGTTCCGCATGCAGGACCAGTTCCACAGGCCAGGTTCCGCAAGACCGGTTCCACAGGACCAGATCGATCCCCGACCCGACCGGCCCGTTAGAGTCCACCCGCCCGACCCGACCCGACCCACCCGTTTAGGGTCCGCCCGCCCGACCCGACCCGTCCGGCCCGTTATGGTCCGCCCGCCCGCCGGACCCGTCCCGCCCGTTTGGGTAGTCGCGTGCCAATTCGATGATGCATCATACTTTAATGTCCCGCCCGCCCGACCCGACACGCCCGTTGGGGTCCGCCCGCCAGAACCGACCCATCCCGACTGTTAGGGTCCGCCCGACCCGTCCCGCCCGTTAGGGTACTTGCGTGCCAACTCGATGATGCATCATACTTTAATGTCCCGCCCGACCCGACCCGACCCGCCCGTTAGGGTCGGCTCGCCGGACCCGACCCGTCCCGCCCGTGAGGGTCTGCCCGCCCGACCCGACCCGACCCGCCCGTTAAGATATTCCCGTCCCACTTCGAATATACGCCATATTTGAATGTCCCGCCCGCCCGCCCCGACCCGCCCGTTAGGTCTGCCCGCCCGACCCGACCCGACCCGCCCGTTAGGGTCCGCCCGCCCGACCCCTCCCGTGCCGCCCGTTAGGGCCCGCCCGCCCGCCCGACCCGTCCCGCCCGCTAGGGCATTCGCGTGCCAAGTCGATGATGTATCATGCTTTGATGTCCCGCCCGCCCCCCGACCCGCCCGTTAGAGTCTGCCCGCCCGACCCGACCCGACCCGCCCGTTAGGGTCCGCCCGCCCGACCCCTCCCGTCCCGCCCGTTAGGGCCCGCCCGCCCGCCCGACCCGTCCCGCCCGCTAGGGCATTCGCGTGCCAAGTCGATGATGTATCATGCTTTGATGTCCCGCCCGCCCGCCCCGACCCGCCCGTTAGAGTCTGCCCGCCCGACCCGACCCGACCCGCCCGTTAGGGTCCGCCCGCCCGACCCCTCCCGTCCCGCCCGTTAGGGCCCGCCCGCCCGCCCGACCCGTCCCGCCCGCTAGGGCATTCGCGTGCCAAGTCGATGATGTTCATGCTTTGATGTCCCGCCCCCCGCCCGACCCGACTGTCCGCCCGCCCGACCCGACCCGCCCGCCCGTTAGGGTCCGCCCGCCCGAGCCGACCCGTCCCGCCCGTTAGGGTCTGCCCGCCCGACCCGATCCGAGGGTCCGCCCGCCCGAGCCGACCCGTCCCGCCCGTTAGGGTCTGCCCGCCCGCCCGATCCGACCCGCCCGTCGGGGTACTCGCGTCCTACCTCGATGATGCGCCGTACATTAATGTCCCGCCTGCCCGATCCGACCCGCCCATTAGGGTACTCGCGTGCCAGCTTGATGATGCGCAATTTGTTCATGTCCCGCCCGCCCGACCCGACCCGCCCGTTTGGGTTCCGCCCGACCGACCCGAGCCCCCAGGCAAGGACCGCCCGCCCGACCGGTCCCTCGTCCCTCCCTCCCTTTATTTCATCACTCATCTATGTTTTTTGTTTATCTCTCAATTTCTCCCTCCCTCATCCCTCCAACTCTGGGCTCAGAGATGTCCGCCCTTGAGGTGATCCGATTGCGAAGGCCTTACGGCCGGTGCCGCCGACCCTGGAGGGCGACCCATGCGTTCTCTAATGTGGCGGGGGGGGCCTCTTGGGGCTTCCTGGGGGCCTCTTGGGGGTCTCGTGGTGGCCTCTTGGGGGCATCTTGGGGCTTCCTGGGAGCCTCTGTCGCCGAGGGCTCGTCGGGCCCCCCGTCTGGGCACCCTGTTGGAGCCGTTTGGGGAGCCTCTGGGGCCATCTTGGAGGCATCTTGGGCGGTCTTGAGGCTCTCTTGGGTCATTTTGGGGCTCTCTTGAGGCCTCTTGGGCTATCTTGGGGCAATCTTGGGGGCATCTGGGGCCGTCTTGGAGCGTCGGCAAGTTGAAACGGCGAGAACGCCAAAATCTGTCAAAAACTTTAAGGAAATCATTGATTTGTCCCTCTTCGTGCCCTCTTGGGAGTGCTCTTGGAGACTTCTTGGAGCGTCTTGGCAATCTCTTGGGCCGTCTGGAGGCTACTTTGGCGTCTTCGACCGATGGTTCGGCGATTCGGGGCCCTCTGGAGCCGTCTTGGAAGCCTCTTGGGGCACTCTTGGCCAGTCTGGGGGCTTTTCTAGGTCCCGGGACATCCCGGGGGGGATGCGTATCTGCCCCCCCCCCCTCCCCCCCCTCCCCGGGACCCCCCCCCCCACCCACCCCCGGCGGGGAAGGGATCAAAGGGAAGGGGCTTCCCTTCGACTCAGCTACGACGTTGCTCAATTTCGCTTTGCCTTCGACTCAGCTACGACGTTGCTCGATTTCGCTTTGGTTTCGCTTTGGCTGGCGCGCCTGAGGGGAGGGCGACGACGACGACGACGACGTCGACGACGACGACGACGACGAACGGAAGAGCATCATCGACGACGACGACGACGACGACGACGACGACGACGACGGCGGCGACGACGACGACGACGACGACGGCGGCGACGACGACGACGACGTTCACGACGAACGGAAAAGCATCTTCCCCACGCCGACAGGGTCGGCGGAGTTGGGTTGGCCCGTTTTCCCGAGACAATCTTCGTGCTCAGTAGCACTTGCACGGCTTGTCGCAAGTACAGGGTGGTTCTTTGGGGCCGTTTCAGTTGACGATTCTTCCTCCTCTTCCTCCTCCTCCTCCTCCTCCTCCTCCTCCTCCTCCTCCGTCTCCCCTCATCCCTCGTACCCCCTGCTTCTCTTCATCCCTCATCCTTCCTTCACTCATCCCTCATCTACCCCTCCTTCACCCTAATCCTCACCTCCCTCCCTCATCCCTCCCTCCCTCCCTCTCTCCTCCTTCGTCCCTCCCTCCCGCCTTATCCTTCCCCTCCTCCCTCCCTCCCTCATTCCTCCTTCCCTCATCGCTCATCCCTTCCTCCTTCCTCTCTCATCCTCCCTCGAGAAGTGGTACTGGGGACGCGGTGTCTTGGAAACGGTTCTGGGGAGGGAGGTGCACATAGCGAACGGTTCCATACAGGGAAGAGGGTCCACGGAAACGGATCCGGGGAAACGGTTCCGGGGAAACGGCTCCGGGGAAGCGGATCCGGGGGAAGCGGTTCCGGGGAGACGGTTCAGGGGAAACGGTTCCAGGGAAACAGTTCCGGAAACGGTCTTCCGGAGAAGGGGTCTCCAGGGAAGAGGTCTCCGGGGAAACGGCCCTCCGAGGAAACGTTTCTGGGGAAGCGGTTCCAGGGATAGGGTTCCCCGGGAAGCGGTTTTGTATGTTTGTTTGTGTGTGTCGCCCTGTCGCTGCGCGAGGGGCTGCGACGTTTTACAAGTGTGCGTGTGCGTGTATGTGTGTGTGTGTTTGTGTGTGCGTGTATGTGTGTGTGTGTTTGTTTGTGTGTGCGTGTGTGTGTGTCTGTGTGTCTGTGTGTCTGTGTGTGTCTGTGTGTCTGTGTGTCTGTGTGTCTGTGTGTCTGTGTGTCTGTGTGTCTGTGCGTGTGTGTGTATGTGTGTATGTGTGTATGTGTGTCTGTGTCTGTGTCTGCGTCTGTGTTTGCGTTTGTGTCTGTGCCGGCGTGTGAGTGTGTGTGCGTGCTTGGGTGCGTGCGTGTATGTTTGTTTGTTTGCGTGCGTGCGTGCTTGCGTATGTGTGTGTGTGTGGCCCGATCGCTGGAGCAGTAACCTCTGCCGAGCCGCCGACGCAAAACAAGTGTGTGCGTGTGTATGTGTGCGTGTGTGTGCATGTGTCTGTGTGTACGTGTGTGTATGTGTGTATGTGTGTACGTGTGTGTGTGTATGTGTGTATGGGTGTATGGGTGTATGGGTGTGTGTGTGTGTGTAAGTGTGTCCCTGGGCCTGCCCATCGCCCCGAGCGGCGGCCAGGTCCTGGTGTGCGGCCTGTACGAGCACGAGGCCCGCGCGCCGCGGGCGGACGGAGAAGACGGGCGGGGGGAGGATCGGACAGGGTTAAGTTGGGGATCTTGGGAACTCCGCAGTTATGGAGGATGCATCAGGCGCCGCGGCCTTCCTAGGGCGGTCCTGAGCAGTCTGAAAGCGTTCCGGTACGCTCTGGGACAGTTCGATCCGGGCGTTGCGTACATGCGGGGGGGGGGGCGAAGAAGCGTGCATTTGTCGTGCCCCGCAGGTGCCTTAAAGAGGGCCCCTTGAGGCACACAAAGGGTACGAAAAATGCGCGCTTCTTCGCCCCATCCCTTTTTCTCCCATGAAGCAACGCCCAACGCATCCGCCCAGGAGGAGCCCTCTCTGCCCTCAGGCCCGAGCGTCGCAGGAAGCAATCGGGGCGACAGGTGGCTCGACGATGTCGGCACGTGGAGGCAGGTTCTCGGCCCCAGGACCGTCAGAAACGATTCAGAAAGACAAGCCAGCCTGGGGGACGTGGTCAAAGCCCCGAGGGGGGGCACGCCACGGAACAACGAATGCAACGTCGGACGCGAGGTTCTCCGCATCGCGTCACCACGTACGTGGGCGCTCACCTGTTGCAGGCGGACCTTTCTTTCACCCTGCGGGAAATACTGCGGCGGCGCCCGAGGCACAAAGTTCTGTGCTGAAAAGGGAGGGTGCTTTTGTGAGTTCGATCGGACTCAGGGCGACGAGGGCTCCCGACCGGCCTTTGCTGCTTCAGTTTGGGAGAGTAGTCCCCCTATTCCTTTGTATTGCTCCTCTTTCCCCACTTCGTACCATGTCCCTTTCCTTCCTGCACCCCGCGAAGCGCTTTTTCTCCGTATCCGAACTATGTAGGCTTATTTGTGTTTCGTACCACGCACCCACATCATTCTTTGTACCCGCGCCTTCACAAAGGGGAACATTGACAGAGATATGCTCCTACAGGTCATGGGAGGTACGCAATCCTTCAAGCATTATTTGAATCGTCATATTCCTTATCGGGCTGGCCAGACATCCTGGTCTGCGGCCGCCTGAGGAGTAAGCACATGCACAGTAATGTGCTTGCAAGGCAACTTGGTTGCGGGTCCGCCTTCCTTACGGCCCCGCCTTCTGCTGCCTTTTGTACATAGTAGCTTCTGTATATGCTGTATAGTGACGGCGGACCCACGCTTCGTCCCCCTCCCCCCCGATTCTGAAGTGAGCTGGGATAGAGGCGAGATGTAACGAACGGGTGTCCGCGGCCGTGTTTGCTCAAGCGGCCGGCCGCCGATATCTGACTACACCTCAGTGCGAGGTGTACGACTCGCCATCGAGACCGAAAACGTCCTTCGCTTGACATGGCCTGTCGCTCCCGCGACGATCTCCTACGACTGGGACTATCGCTACTACGATACAACAGAGCTGGAGCTGTGCTTCGCCTAAGGCGTAGCTTCTGGTCGGGCCTACCGGCCCCCTTTCAAACTCGCTCTCCTACGTATATACTGAAGGGAAGGGGCGGTGGCGGATGCCCGTGCTCAGTGGTATTCAGGGTGGTTTCCACTTAGGTCCTCCCCACACCCGCCCGCTGATTGTCAAGCGCAACCCGGTTATTATCCAAACCCATTCACAGTTTGATCCGCTCCGGATTTTCAAATTGCGTTCTGATGTCGTGCTTCTTTCGTAGCCAAGCCCCTTCACAATCAGACGACCATGTCTTGTCATAGTTAGAATCAGTCACTCCCAGACTCTTTCGTACTCATCCTCTCCCATACATGGAGTTGCGCATAGTCAAGAACATGAATACCCACCCCAGTCGTTCGTATTCAGACTCCCTCTCGTCCAGACCTGGTCATACCGAGCACCTCACACGCAGACCCATTCGTATTCAGATCCACCCGCGCTCAAACCCACTCGTATTCAGCCGCCCATACCAGGACCAAATCACACCCAAGTTTGTCAAAAAACAATCAATCACTCATACTCAGGCACAGGCACAACCATCTTCCAATACAGCAAGACGCACTCATAGTCATACATTTTTAGTCCACACCAATCTGACTCGCAGGCCCACGAGCGCTCAGTCATTATAGCTGGTCAGACCCGCGCGCACAAAAACACTTACACACAATCATATTCACGCGCGCTCAGTTCCATTCGTAAACACTTGCGCACAAGTTCGGACCCCGTCCTTCATGTTGATCCACTCATTTTCTTACAGGACCAGTCACGTTCGCATTCGCACAGACATTAAACGCCACTCAGACTCACGCGCGCTCATACCCAGTACCCATGTGTATTCGGACATAGTCACACCCAGACCACTTCGTATACGTAAGCGTCCGTATATTTGCTCACGTGTTCATTTTTCCAGACTCACATTCAGACCCACCCGTACTTAGTCGCCCACGCCCACAATTTTGGTCGTATTCGTGCACGCGGGAGTGACAACAGTTCGACGATGTATGCATGTACGTATGAGGATATTCGCGTCGAGTCTGTATGTCGCCAGATGTGCGACCTGCTGTACCGCGACATTACGCCAGAGGACTACGACCTCTTGCTGAGGAGGGTGCCCCTTTCCTGTGCCAGACCCCCCCCCGCGGGGGAGAGAAGGAGAGAAGGGAGAAGGAACTGGAAAGGAGAAGGCGAAGGATAAGAAAGGGAAGGGAAGGGAGACGGGAGGAAAGGGAGAGTGAATGAGAAGGGGGAGTAGGAGGAGGAGCACGAGGGGAGATGAGGAGGAGGGAGACAGGAAAGAGCGAACACTAATCAACGACACCTTCGCATGTTTCGGGCCGACCGCTCGTCGGGTCTTCATAGGAGGAAAGAGAAAGAGAGAGAGAGAGAGAGTGAGAGAGAGTGAGAGAGAGAGAGAGAGGCACCTAGTGTATAGAGAGAGTGAGAGAGAGGCGGCGGCGCCTGGCACGGCGGCGCGTAAGAGTGACTGGAAGCGAAGAAGGCGGCCCGAATCGGTCCCGCGCGAAGTGGCACAGCCACGGTCTCACCGGGCTGACGGGCGCGGAGGGTTGCGCACCCTTGCCACGCTCTGGGCCAGCGCGCGCCGCGGAAAGGGGCCCCAAGGTTCCGAAAGGGCTGGTCTTAAGACGCGTGGCCCTCGACGCGAAGACCCGGCACCTAGTGCTCGTAGCTCCCGCGAGCGCGTCGCCCACCTTGGTGCTGCTGCCGACGATGGCCCGGCCCCTGGCAAGAGCAACCGCGCGGCAGTCGACGAGGCCTGCCAGCGCCTGCTCGACGCCGAGGCGAGGCTGCAGCGCTGCCGTGGCGCGGCCATCAAGCGCCCCTCAGGGTCGCCGACGCCAGGGCGAACGCGGCGACCACTGCAGGCCGAGCTCGAGAAGGCCAAGACGGGCGCAGCGGCTGCGCTGGGCACGGGCCGCCTCCGCCCGCGGACCGGGCGCCCTCTGCCGGCCCAGCCGTGGCTCTCCAGGTTCGCTTCGCGGCCGAGGCCGCGCCCGAGAGCAGGCTGCGCGACCCCATGGCGGCCGCGTCTGCCCACCGCGTCGGAGCCGGCGCCCCCCTCGGCACCTGCGGCGCCGCCCGCGGCAACCGGCGGCGGCGCGGGGGGGGGGTGCGCCCAGAAGCCCTCGCCACTCCGAGCTGCAGCGATAGCAACGCTCTCAAGCAGGGCTGGACCTAAACGGTGTTTTGGCGATTTCGTGGGCCGTTTTCGTTTCGACTTCGTTTTGTGGAACTCAAGACAAAACGAGGGAAACCGAAAACAAAACGAAAACGAAAAACACTGTTTAGGTCCAGCCCTGCTCTCAAGTTTACAGACGCGTGATCCAGGTCGCCATATCCACGCGCGCAGCGTCAGGGCTCCGTCGCCGCCGTAGGCCTCGCAGTGCGTCTGCCGAGCCCGCGCCGCCCGCCGTCGGAGCCCCAGGGTCCGCGTCCGAGGCCGCGACGCCCGACGACGAGTCCGTGGAGGGGCTGCTGGCTGATGATGATCCTGGTGGGCCGCCAGCAAGCGGAGCTGAAGGTGACCGCGAGCGAGCGCGCAAGGCCTCGGAGGTGCTCTGCAGGGAGGCCGAGCGCACGAAGCGGTGTGCACTGCAGGCGGGCGAGGCTTTTTTCGGGGTACCCAGAGACCTGCTGTTGCCGAGTGTCAACAGACGCCTAGCACGGGCAGGACTGCCAGGCCATTCAGGGGTCTTAACAGCTTGGGCCACACAGCGGCCTCGCCTAGCGCAGGCAATCAACGGGTCGCAAGTCAGCGCGTGCAGTTGGTCGGGACGTCACGCCCTGGCGCTGCCAGTAGGTCTTCAGGACAAGGTGCCTCCGCATGGCAGCCGCGCTGCGCAGGTTCAGCTCGGTGCATTTGCCTGTCGGCCCGCGGGCCCGCGCAGTCAGTGCGCCATCGCGCGCATATATATATATATATATATATATATACATACATACATACATACATATATATAATATATATATAAATATTATATATATATATATATATATATATATATATATATATGTTAGGCCGACGCGCGCGCGCCCGCATCTGCCGGCTCAACATGGCAAGCTGTATTCTCGCCCACTCCGCTTCGGAACATCACAGCGCGCGTTCATGAACGACTTCGTCGCGCAACTGCGGCATGAGGGTTCTGGAGGCGGACGCCCAACATTCGTCATCCAGCGGGTTTTGTCTGAACCGTTAAGCATTGCGCGATCGGTGTGGCAGTTGAAGACGCTTCAGAGCAATACGGAACCATCCATATTGTTGTTCGCGGTTTTCCTCGGGTACTGGCTATTTGTTCGAAACCTGGCCGACGCTTCTTCAACTGGAAGGCCCGCGAGGGCGACTCACTCAAGTTCTGGCGTCGTCAGCACGGGCAGCGCATGCATCTACCCATGGGGTCCAAGCCACCCCCCATGATCAACGACCCCAACGCAAAAGATATGTTGCACACGTTGCAGCGGCACCTATGCGTGGGCCTCACGGGGTTCATGGGCGTTTTTGTCAGGCAGCGGGGGGGCCCAAGGAAGACGCAACTTCTAAATTGGCCACGTCCGTGCCTTTCCCCCGCACGCCGGAAGCCCCGTTAGCAACAAGCAGTCTGGTTTGCAGGAGCCCTCTGAAAAACAGACGTGGGATCGGTAGATGTTCGACACGTCTCGCAATTCGCTTTCTGCCAAACGGAAAGAATGCGACTAACGGGCCCGATTCTTTTCCGACGCTTACCTGGCGAATGTTGCCGGAGGTCTCCAAGCGCGCTCTTCGGCCTCAGCCGCGGGAGTCGCCTCGCACATCAGAGAGGTATTCTTTCAAGGCCGTCGACGTCTTCACCACATGTGGTCGCTGTTGTGTTCGTCGACTGTGTATGCCGTCTTGGCTCGCAGTCCACATGCAGAGCAATTTTGTGGAGTAAACGGCCGAGTGTTAGGTTCGCATTCTGTGAAGCATGGGAAGTCACTCCCACTCTGCCTGTGCACTCAGCAGCTGGCTCTCTCTCTCTCTCTCACTCTCAAGCCATGGGGGCCGCCTTGAGTCTGGGTCCTCCCGCCCTGAGCGTGGGCCCCTCGCGTTCCCCTCCAAGTTCCCTCACTCGTATGTGCTTCCAAACCGTTTCAGAGGAACACGAGCTGCGCCCGCTGCGGAATGCGGCTGCAAGTTCGGGCGCCCCGCGCGGTGCTCACAGAGGTCCGAGCGGACCGCTCCGTTGAGCTGCAGAGAGCAGGCATCGTCATCACGTCGCACGCCGTCAATCGTACCTTCCCTCCGCCCCCCCCAGCCCCCGCACGCCCTCTCCTCCCGCCCCCCCCCCCCCCACACACCTCCCCAAAGAGCACCCGAGCTCACCCCCTCCGCGACGGCCCGCCCGCGCCCCCTGGACGCGCGGCCGGCCCGGGGAGGCTGGACGAGCGGGTGCCCAAGAAGACCGCTCCCGCCGACGCCCTGGCCCGACTGCGCGAGGTGCCCTGCGCGGAGCGACGGCGCGCCCCGCAGTCGCACCCTTTCATGCTCCTCTCGTCCTCCTCCGTTTCTTGCTCTCACTTCTACGTTGATGTTCCTTTCTCCTCCTCCTCCTCCCTCCCCTCCTCCTTCTCCTCCTCCTTTTTAACCACCACCACCACCATCACCATCACCATCACCATCATCATCATCATCATCATCATCATCATCATCATCATCATCATCATCACCATCATCATCTTCATCATCATCAGCATCATCATCATCATCAGCATCAGCATCATCATCATCATCATCATCATCATCATCATCATAATCATCATCATCATCATCATCATTATCAGCATCAGCATCAGCATCAGCATCATCATCATCATCATCATCATCATCATCATCATCATCATCAGCATCATCATCGTCATCGTCATCGTCATTATCATCAGCAGCAGCTGCAGCGTCTACATCATCGTCAGCATCATCATCAGCAGCAGCAGCAGCATCATCTTCATCTGTAGCCATTTTGGCTCAAGGCTCTAACCTGCCCTGGGGCTAGAACCTTGTTGCAGGCGACAGAAGCCCGAGATTACGGGGTCAGGCCTCTCTCTGCCCAGACGTGCGCCAAAACACGCACCCTTTTTGCTAAGATCCGCTCCTGTGACTAGAGGCCTGCAATGGCGCTCGATGCGGCTGCCCTCCGGCTCATGCTGAACAAAGCCCTTCGTCCTCTCACCGAGCCAGTGGGCACCATGCAGATGGCGATCAACACTAACCTGGCGGCGGTCAGGGCGATGGACACCAGGCTCTCTGAAGGAGCCAAGCAGAACACTGACACCATCGTCAGCATGAAGGAGGAGCTGCAGGCCCACAGTGAGCGCATGGACGAGCTCGAACTACAACTTCGAGGACAGCAGCGCGACGGAGATGTTGCTATGGCCCATGCGGATGGTATGGCCCCCACGTACTCAGCAGTTGACCGCCTTCAGACGCCCGAGGCCAACTATGCGGAGCTCCAGCGCACGATTGAAGCACAGCGCAAGAGCTCATATCCGTGGGCGTCACACGGCAGCTCTACTTCCCCCTCGACACGCTCTGAAGGTTCAACGGCTTCTTCTTCTGCGTCGATGCCCACGGTACCTTCTGATCAGACGAAGATATGGATCCGTGGCTTTCCCAAGAAGCAGCTCAAAAGTACCTTCGAGCGACACTTCGCGGTCCTGAAGACATCGATGCCTGTGGATTACCGTGGCAAGTGTGTAGCAGTTTGTCAAAGCTTTCGGCTTGCGTACGCTATCAAGTTCGAGTGTCACTCAGGCGACCTCAGGCACTCAGCATGATTTGAGGGTAGGATACGACGAACCCTATGACATCAAGGATAAAGGCTGCATTCTTGGACTGATTTTGAAACAGAATAATGCTGACATGCGCTCGAACAACCGTTGGACATCGACGACTACCTTAGCATGCAACAAGTACCAAGGCCTGTGCTGCACCACTGAGCGCGACGAGCCCATCGACCTAGTGGTGGAGACGTGCAAGCAGGAGCTTCCCTACTTCGGCCTCACCGAGAAGCAGATTCAGGACCTGCCTGCGGCTGTGGCTGCGGCGTCCCATCAGTAGGACACTGCACCGCACGGCTCTGCTGAAGGCGACGCCGCTGTCGATTCTGTCTTTGCTCATACTGCTGAATATTATGCTAGCCTTTCCTCTTCTAACCGTGCCTGTGGGAAGCGACTTAAGAGTAGCTCGTTTTCCTTTTCTCCCCCCTTGGCACCAATGCAGACATTCACTTAGACTGCCGGTGGCAGATCCAGCAGCCGCTCTCGATCGGCACGTGGAGTTCTCGAGTTGTTTTTGGCGACGCGCATGGTGGCCCAATTCGGCCGAGAAATCGAATTCGCAAGTTCCTCTCCCTCATCAAAGAACATACGATTGTACTCATGCAAGAAGCACATGGAACTTAAGCAGACATCGAGACCCTACGATGAGATTTCACCACACACACACACACTCACGACGGCTCATGCTGTGAGAATCAGCATGTTGGTGGCGATATCATCGGCATTGCGAACGCCTTCCTTGCCCATGTCACGAATGCGGACGCATGCGAGCATGTTCCTGGCCAGGATGGGATGGGGCCAGGCTTCTTGGGCGCATTGATCGCATTTACACGTTTGCGTCAACGGCCACCACTCTTGAGGCTAAGCTTACTGCAGACATTGTTGGGCACGTCCTCGAAGCAGCCGAGCCTAGTGGTCATGTTCCTGTGCAAGTTCAATTCTCTCCTGGGCTTAGGTCGCAAGCGACTGTGCCGGCATGGGTGGCAGCCCACCCCGAGTTTGCAGACCTGGTTGACGAGGCTAGGGCTCAGGTGGAGATCTCCAGTGACCCCCTCCCGGCCTTGGACGAAATCAAAGAATACACGCGCATGGCCAGCCTCGAGCTTAAAGCACGCATTTACAGATATGGAGTTCGAACTGACACACATCGTCTCACGGCGTGTCTCAAATTCATGTGCGCCAGCATGAATGAACAGAAAAGCGGCCATACGTAAGTATGTTAAGGCATGCGGCACCATGGCACAGTTCACGGATGAGCAGCACGGGCACATCATAGATCAAGCGAGGCCCCATGAGCACATCCGCGTGATCCAGGAGCGCATTCCTGTATTAGAGGTACGCGAGCATGAGCAGTCACCTGAATATCATACGGATGACGAGCGCACCGTGAAGCTTCACAAACTTTTGAGGGCATGGCCCCCTAAGCACAGGCGCGTCTCGCTTGCATGCATCCTGGACGTCGACGGGCGCGACCCCATCCGTTTAGACGACAGTGCTGCGCGGCTTGCGGCGCGCCGGGGCCAGGCGCGCACCGCTGCCGATGCGCTGGGCGTGCCCCAGGACATCTCTGAGACGCTGCTAGAGCACCGCCAGCGCGCCGCTCCAGGCATCGAGTGGACTGCCCCCTGCTCTGACATGTTGGGCTTCCTACGCTGCGAGAAAGATTCCGCGGCAGGTCCCGACGGCATTCCATACTCTGGATGGTATGATTGCAGTATCCAATGTAATGTTAGATCAGGCGTATTTGAAGCTCATTGACAAACGCCCCCTTGCCGCTTGTTTCAATCATGAGACTGCGCTGTTGCTTGCTGCAAACGTTGAAAACGATGCCCAGCTGGTCTTTCAAAAGAAAGCCTTCGAGACCCGCCCGCTATTCCGTGGCAATACTGACAACAAGATGTTTGCTTCGCTTATCTGCGCCCCCTTCGGGCAGCAACCGAGCAGGTTTTTATCAAAGGCAGGGGCGCGCTAGATAACGCCACGCAGATCGAGGCCGACTTTCTAGAGCATGCAGCGTTGCAATGTGCCGAGCGCCAGGCCTGTCCCTGCTCGACTTCGAGGCCTCCTTCCCAAGCATCGCGCATGCATGGGTATTCACTGTCCTGCGATGCATGTTGGTTCCTGATCATGTGGTCCATGGTGCAGAGCAGATGTATCACGACATATGTACGTGTGCACGGTTGGGAGGAGGAGTATTCGATTGCCATTACATCACCCGAGGCATCAAACAAGGCTGTCCGTTGTCAGGCGCCCTGTATGCGATTGCAGCTGATCTGATCATCAGGTGTCTCCTCGCAGCACTGACGCCGCTTGCGCGTCCGCTTGCACTCGCCGACGACACCGGCATTGTCTCTGAGGATCTGGTTCGCACGCTGCCACTTGCACTCCGACTCCTGTCTCGAGCAGCGTTGCTCACGGGTCTGGTATCAAATCCTGGCAAATGCAGCTTGGTCTTTGCTGTGCCATACTCCAAGCACGACGTCTTGGCGATGTTCCGCGCTTCTGGGATTCCGTTTCGTCAGTTTCGGTTTAGCACCTGCGGCAAGTACCTCGGGGTGCACATTGGCCCGCATGGTGCACATTGGCCCGCATGGGCCCCCTCTGTCCTGGGCAGCTCCCGGCATTAAGTTCATCAAGAGAGTCAGGCTCGTCGAAGTGTCTGTATAGAGGTCTCTGTCAGAACACCATCACGTACAATTCGCTGGCCTTCTCCGTCTTCTGCTTTGTTGGCCAGCTGCATCAGGCCCCCAAGGCGGCGCTGAAAAAGGAGAGAGGCTCACCGGCTTTTCGCGCCAGCGCCCCGTCATTTCACCCGCCGACATCCTGCGCCAACCCTCCCAGCTGCGCTCCCCGACGGACCCCAGGGACCGGCGAAGAGAATCCAGGGCGAGCATGTATCGGGTCGCGTTAAAATCGTGGAGGTTTTCTGCTGTGCGTGGCAGGTTTTGTTGTCTCGAGGAAGAGGAAATTGATCGGCGTGCCGCGCTGCGACACAGAGATTGGTATGAGGATAGTATATGCTACTCAATCATTGGCAACTACAACAAAGCTGGCGGCTATCCCCGCGATGACCGATGGCCCTGACACGGCCATGCCCCAGAAAAAAAGTGAACATCATCCTGAGGCATCGTGAGGCCCCATGTAGTCCAGGCCCTGCCCTGCCGCGTATTAGACACTTCTCTACAGCTGCTATGCTTCCCAAGGCTGATCTTGTTGTTCTGAGGATCAGGTTCGCTGCCTCCAAGCTCGCTCCGTTTGTGGGCGCAGCCTTCTTGACAAGCGTCTGCAATTCCTGGGCCACACGGTCCAGGTACCGTCAGGGGCGCCAGGTCTGTCTGTTCGGATGCCAGGTTTGCGGGGGAGACCACATCCTGCACTAGTTTGATTGCCCCTGTTCCCTTGGGACTCTCTGTGTGGTCCTTCGTCATCTACCCAGTGATAATCTTTCCTGGGCGGCCCAGGACCGTTTGCTGCTTTCACATAGTTTTGCCTCTTCCTCGCAAGCCATGTACTCCGCTATGCTTGTGCACGACTTAGTGTTTAGCACATTCAGTTCTGTCAGGACATTGAAACGATATGGCCCTGAGTGCATTCTCGAAGTTTGCAAAGCTCGAGCAAGGGCCATCCCTAAGCGGAACCCCCACATCCGAGCTCTTTTCCGACAGTGAGGCGCTCTTCTGAAGAACCTGGCGCGTGAAGGGGCTGCGCTATCATCATCATCATCATCATCATCATCATCATCATCCTCATCATCATCATCATCAGCAGCATCGCCATTTCCATCGTTCTCGTCATAGTCATCGTCATCGTCAGAATCTCCATAGTCACTCTCATCATCCTATTCCCCTCCGTCTCCTCCTCACCCCCCACGTCCTTGACAGATTCCTCCTTCTCCTCCCCCACCTCCTCCTCATCCCCCCTCTCCTCCGGCATCTTCTCCTACTCCTCCTCTGCTCTTTGGTGAGCTACAATCAGGACGCTGACAGAAGGAACAGTTTAGGTTCGGGGGGTTCTAGTTGTCCGTGGGTCCTTCCATGGTTGTTCCGTTGGTCCCAAATGGCGTCGCCCCTTATTAAATGGTCCGCGTTGTAGCACGATGGCTGCACGGGCTGGTGATAATGGCGGCGAGCACAAGGAGGTGGCGCGAAGGGAGGAGCCTTTCAAGAACCCCCCCGCCATCTCAGAGGGTCGGTACCCTCGCGCCACCATTTTTGCGCGCGCCGCTGAGAAAGGACGTTGAAGATGGAGGCGCGCAGAAATTCTGGTCGGTAAACATATTTCGTTAAGATATAGTCAACGTGTTGCGGCCAACGTTCGTTTGGCGCGTGCCGTTTTCGGCCAGGTCCCTTGCCCCAGAGGGGCTTGAACCCGGCTGGTGAAACGACGCAATGGATATGTGATCGGTTGGTTGCTGAGGAGGGAGGGGAAGGAGGAGCATGAGGAGGAGGAGGCACGAGGAGAAGGATGAGAAGGGAGAAGGAGGCTTTGCATGTCGTCATCGCCCACCATTGCGCAAAGGATTCACCATATCCGCACGCAGCATACGCAGCTCTGCTATGTCGCCCTGGTGCGCTCGGAATGCTGTCTCGCGCGCGCGCCCGTGCGGCTACGGCGCACCGAATCCATACGGCGCACCATGACACAAAGTTGCAACCCTCAAGCCAACAGACCGAGAGATTGTCCAAATTGGTCCTGGGCTGGGAGGCAGACGCTAGCCAAGCGGACTCTGAGATTGATGACGTTGGGCCTCCTCCACCTGCGCAATCGCCCCATCATTATTCGCAGCATGCGCAGTGGCTTGTCTTAAGAGGGCGACCCCAGCTTGTTCACGGATGCTTCCGTCGTGGCCGAAGCCAGAAGGACAGTTCTCATACGGGTCCACAGGTGCGCCAAACAAAATAGAAGCAATGTTCGAGCATAGTTTGCGCTTTCTCCTTGCAAAGTGTTGCGTCGCCTCGACGATGATGTCTGCGCGCGTGGGCGCTGAGGGAAGCTGACATGTAGGCGACGTGTGGACCTCTTCGGCCTGCGGTTCCAATGCGACTTTTCTCCTTTCCCCGTCGCCTTGCCGCCCATCCTCGCGCCTTCTCGCCATGCCTCCTCGCCCTCTCGCCAGCCATGTGCCTCATCTCCTCCCCTGTCTCCCTGCCTTCTCTTACTCCTCCTCCTCCTCCCTCCCGGCAAGGCATGACACTTGCGGCATATGTCTCACAGCGTTCGGGGAGGACGACGACGAGGATTTCATCGTCGCCCCTTGCGGGGGGAGTACAGTCAACACGCTAAGGATCATGTTGGGTTTGGGAGGGACTCTGGTATTCGGGGCATCTCTGAGATGCAGGTCGGGGAACCCCTTCGTGACTAGACAAAGCCACTCGTTCCAAATTCAGCGTTCCCTAATGTGACACCGTAGCCGTTGATTTTTCCTGGCCAGACAGGGGCAGCAGGTGGAGGGGACGGAGAGGAGCAGCGTGACCACGGGGACGAGGACGAGCAGGAGGAGGCAGGCGACGGAGACGAGGATGACTATGACACTCTGACTCAGTGCGGTCGCATTGGGTCGTTTGGGGATCGGTGCCCATCCTTCTCCTCGTCCTCCTCCTCCTCCTCCTCGTCCTCCTCCTCCTCCTCCTCCTCCTCCTCCTCCTCCTCCTCCTCTTCCTCCTTCTCCTCCATCAACATCGAGACCAAGTTCTCGAACATCCACTTACAGTAACCACCAGAAGGCCCGCGCCGTCGCGCAGGGCAGGCTCAACCTGTGAGCTCGCAAGCCCCGCCCGCGCCGCTGCGTGGAACTGGATCCCTCCCCCATAGCACTGCTGCTCCTTCTCCTCTCCCTCCCCCTCATCTCCTTCATCCCCCCTTTTCCTCCTCCTCCCAGTTTTGGAAGCTGCCTCACTGCATCGGATGGGGAGACGGGACGGGGGCACGACGGCGAAGAGAGAAGGAGGACGACGAAGGTGAGGACGATAATGCGAGGGCGAGGAGGAGGATGAGGAGGAGGAGGAAGAGGAGGAGGGGGATGATGAGGGTGAGTGATGGGTCGCCTCACGATATACACAGTCGATTGCGGGCTCGCCCGCAGTAGCAGCAGGAGGGCCCCCCGTCCCGTTTGCTTCAACTCAAGTTGGCTACGCACGGCGAGCGACTGAGTCCCTAATGCCGTCTTTTCATGTTGTAATCTCGAATACGGCGATCGTCCATCGTCAGAGAGATCCTTCGTTCAACGCGGATGAAGAGGAAGCGGAAGAGAAACATGAAGATGAAGCGGAAGATTAAGGAACTACGCCAACTGTTGTATTCTGTGTATGTATATGGGGGAGAGAGAGAGAGAACACAAAAAACAAAAAGAAAGACAGACAGAGAGTGAGAGAGAGAGAAGGAGGAGGCGGAGGAGAAGGAGGAGGAGGAGGGACAGAGGGGAGGGAAGCGGGTCAAGGGGTGTTTCTCATATTATTGGTCGCGCCCGCGCGCTAATGCTGCCATCGGCCAATCAGCCGGTTCTTCGATGGCGGCAGCGGAGAGGAGTACAAAACACGTCGGATACGTGTGATGAGGGCATGGCCTATTTGTCAGCGCGCTGACTTCGTTGTCGAAAGCGCATAAAAGGGCCAGTTGGGCTGATCGGACCCCGCTGCTTTATGTGTGCACATATGTACGTACGTGTATATCTATATAACAGGTTATAGCTGTATAGATGTAAACCTACCTAATCTACATATGTACAGACAAATGTTTATATATAGGTGTGTGTATATATATATATATATATATATATATAATTGACCCCCCCTGCCTGGGGGCGCCCAGTCCGCAACCATCCAGGAACATGTGTTGATACCCTCCCGGTTCGCTTCCCAGAGGCGGCCCGGAGAAGCTAAGGGGGCCCCAAGACGGGACAAGAGGGCTCCAGAAAGCGCCCAATAGGGTCCAAGAGGCTTCCAAGACAGCCCAAGAGCGCTCCAAGACGCCCAAGATGGCCCCAAGACGGCCCAAGAGGCCCCAAAGAAACCCCAAGAGCGCGAGGACCCCAAGAGGTCCCAAAGAGGCAAAATCATTGATTTCCTTTGTGTTGCTATATGTTTTCCGCGTTCTCGCGTTATGGGCGTCCGACGCTCCTAGATGGCCCCCAAAGCTCCCAAGACCGCCCCAAGACGGCCCAAGAGGACCCCAAAGGGCCCCAAGACGGCCCAGGAGGGTCCCAAAACGGCCCAAGAGGCGCCCAAGAGGGCCCCAAGAGGGTCCCAAGAGAGGCCCAAGAGGAGGAACACGAGCCGACAACTCGAGCTTTCCATCCCAAGAGTCCCCCAGGAGGCCCCAGGCGGCCCCCGTGAGAGCGCAGGAGGCCCCCTAGAGGCCCAAAAAGAGGCCCCAAGAGGCCCCCAAAGGGCTTCCAAGAGGCTTCCAAATCTTGGGGGCCTCTTGGCCAGTCTGAGGCCATCTTGGAGCCATCTTGGGCCGTCTCGGAGGCTTCTTAAACGAACTTGAAGGCATCTTGGACTCTCTCGGGCCGTCTTGGAAGCCATCTTGGACCATCTTTGGCGACTTGGAGGCCATCGTGGGCCATCTTGGAGGCCATCTTGGGCCGACGTGACCATCTTAGAGGCAGTCTTGAGCCGTCTTGGAGAATTTGTTGCGGTCGTTGAGGTGGTTGCGGGGCCTTTCCGGGACCCCGGCGGGATCGGCCGAAGCCCCAGGGGGAGTTCTTTTGGAAAAGAACCAAGACCAAAATCGAAAGGATCTAGCACGCTGGGCACCCCATGTGGCAAGCAAAGAGGGGGCGGCAGATCGAAGACGCCTACGGCGAATCACCGCCGCCCCCTGCCTTTTTGGAAGCGCCTGCGTGGCCGAAAGTTGGGTTTGAGCTTGGCCAAGCTATCGGGCCACGCGTTCCCTTGGTGGGTTTCGAACGCCTTCGGGGAACACGGAGTCGGGCGAGCTATCGGACCAGGTAATTTCCGAGCTTTCGCGCCTCCTGGAGGATGTCTTGGAGGGGTCTTGGGCCGTCTTGGAAGCATCTGTCGGGCCTTTTGGGCAGTCTTAGGCCATCTTGAGGCCATCTTGGGTCGCCTTGGGGTGCATCTTGGCGCCATCTTCGCCGTCTTGGAGGCCTCCTTGGCCGTCTTGGAGGCATCTTGGAGGCCATCTTGGCCGTCTTGGAGGCATCTTGGGCGTCGTGGGGGCCATCTTGGGCCATCTTGGCGTCTTGTTGGGGCCCTCTTGGGGGCCTCTTGGGCTGTCATGGGGCCATCTTAGAAGCCTCTTGGGCGCTCTTGGGACGATGTTGGGGGTCTCTTGGGCCGTCTTGGGCAGTCGAAGAGCTGAAAAGAAGAAAATGCCAAGTCCATCACAAATCACTAGACTATCAATGATGTTGGCCCTGTCGGGCCTTCCTGGAGGACGTCTTGGAGGGCTCTTGGGCCGTCTTGGAGGCCTCTTGCGGGCCTTTTGGGCGGTCTTAGGCCATTTTGAGGCCATCTTGGGCCGTCTTGGGTGCATCTTCGGGCCATCTTAGCCGTCTTGACGGCCATCTTGGGCGTCTTAGGGGACATCTTGGAGGCCATCTTGGCCGTCTTGGAGGTTATCTTGGGCGTCGTGGGGGTCTCTTGGGCCATCTTGGGGCCGTCTTCGGGGCCTCTTGCGCTGTCATGGGACTTTAAACGGAGAAGGTTAAAGGCGAGATATAAATCGAGCATGTACCGCTGCCGTGCCTGGCTCAAGCCGGGCCCGGCCAGATATGTGACTGTGCCTCACTGAGGCGCACTACTTGCATCCGAGATCGGAAAACATCCTTTTCCATTGACGATGCCCATCCTACTCTTTACTCCAGATCCCATGCTTCGTCTCGCTCTCTTGCTCATGCGCTATGAGCCTAAGCCTGGGATATGGAAGCGCCTAAGGCGGACTGTATACCTAAGCTTACCAGCTTGTTTTCGACTTGGTAGCGGAGCTGGCTACACTCTCGTGTGGCTGGCTCTCGCTCTGATTCCTGTAATCCACGGCACAACTTGGTGGACTACTACTACGGTGGAATACCATGTTGCGCCGGCTCTGCGAGGAGCGGAGCCAGTCCGCGATCGAGCTAGCGGGGCAACCCGCGAACTCGAGACGCTCTCTCCTACCTCACTGCGCTACTTCACTCCCGACTTCCACCAGATGCCAATCGGCAACTCGATCGAGAACGTGGTCACCCTGCGGGGCTACCCGCAGCGGGGCCACCTGCATCCCGTGCCGGTCAGGCGCCTCACGGCTACCACGCCAGAGCCTGACAAACCACAGCCCAAACCAATCACCGAAGCCGAAATGCACATGCATTGGATCAAAATAACTATCTTCGGCATTCTGTGGGTAATAATGGGATGTGCTGTGGGATACATGCGGCAGGGGATGGACGACACGCGTACTACTGGCCCTTCATGGGACCCTGCCGGTACTACGCCTTTTCGCGAATACGTTCGCGAAGTACATGCATGGTTAAACGTAACGAGTGGCAATATGACACCACCACAACAAGCTGCAGCACTACAACGAGGCCTTCAAGGTCTGGCTCGTCGTATCGCCATGCAGGTCCCCTCCCAGATCATCAATTATGGTGTAACTGTCAATGGACAGCCAACGGATGCAGTAACCTACATACTGTACTTACTGAGCACCAAATTTGAAAATCTGGAAGATGAGCGCCAGCTCAACTCTGGCACGGCCCTTATCGACTTCCGCGTCGAAAGGGGCGAGCGAATCGACTCAGTATTAGCTCGATTCGAGATGGCCCGTGACGAGGCTAACTCTGTTGGCTTTGTCATCCCCAACTTTCAGATCCTAACGCTGATTCTCTTCAGAGCGTTAGGCGTTGGCGCGTCACGAGCCCAACACCTGCTTGAGCCCTTCAATCATCAGATGCCCCGAACACAAGCAGACTATGACAGGCTGCTGACCAGGATGAGGAACTACGGACATGTTGCCGAGCGCTCTCCTGGTAACATAGCGGGTATCTTCGCAGGGCACCACTCACATGCAGGTGTTTACGCCACGACTGCGGGGTCACCCGCTGGTCCTGGCGAGCCAAATCCCTGGGCTGACCCAGCCGATATGCCCAACGAGGCCACTGCCCTTCTAGGGCAGACCGGCCAGGTATCGGCAGAGGCAGCTGAGGCGAACGCCTGGTCGAACTACTCGCCAGGCGCCGCCTACACTGCAAGCCCGCCCTCGGGCACAACCCTCTGGGGCCAAGCGGAGTCATCCG